AGTTTAACAATTCCATTGTCGTTCAGTAGTTAGGATATCTGACTTTTACCCAGGAGACCCGAGTTCAATTACCGGCAGTGGAAGTTTTAATTTATTTATCCCCCTCCCATTGCTTGTTGGTGAGGGCAATGAATGGCAGTGCCGCACTGCTCTAACTGATAAGTTTTTTTGTTTTCTAACTCGGTTGTTGCACAGCCAGTCCCTACAGTACAACTTTTGAAAGATGGTGAAAAGAGATTGCAACAGTTGACAGCTGATCTCACTTGATGCCCCTCCCCTTGTATTGTTATGGTTTCACATTGTCTAATCTTTTACCATCGAGTTTTATCATAAACTTGAGAAATGGTTTGTTTTTCAGTCAAAATCTTAGCTACTTTCACCTCTACCATACGTTTTTTTAGTCAGATAATTTGTTGGATTCTTCTAATATATTACTCCTACATACTGTAAGCAACTTCACAAGAAATGACCATTAAAAGTCTGGTTTAAAAGGTTTTCAAGTCTAAGGAAGACCCACAAAGAGAGAGTCATTACATTTCTTTCCTTGAAGTCTGGTTTAATCATTTCTAAACTTCACCCAAGCAAAAACATTGAACAAAGGGTGATAAACAAATATCCGTTGCATGAAACTTGAAACAACAATGAAAAAAAACCCAACATCATCGAGGCTAATACCCATTTCAAGAAACTTGAAACGACAATGAAAAGTTCCAAACACCATCAAGGTTAACAAATTCCATTGTCGTCCAGCGGTTAGGATATCTGGCTTTCACCCCGGGTTCAATTCCCGACAATGGAAATTACATTTTAGTTTTCCCCTCCCACCTCTTGTTTGGCTAGCTAGAAACCGGCAGTATGGAAAGAAGAAAACCAGATCAACATGTCCTCGGTGAAGGCTTCCCTTGACCTCTCCTCTTCCCTCATAGAAAACCTGCAAATTGGGCAATTCTTCCTGCACGTACTCACCCACCTATCCACGCACTCCCTACGGAACTCATGCATACATGGCAGCATCCTCCTCTCCTCTCCCTCTTCCATCCTCGACAAACAAACGCAACACTCTTCACCTCTCAGTCGCACCGCCGCTGCTCTTGTTGGCGCTTCCTTTCCTCTTCCTTCGTCAACCCATCTTCCCACCCAACCACCGTGTAGATGAAAGCCACCAACCTGTTGAGAACCATTTGGTTGTCTCACCAAATGGTGTTTCAAATACCATCTTTTTAATAAGAGGAGTTTGAGGCAAAAAAAAGGGGGGGAAGGGTTGGGGGATAACAATGACTTGCCTTCCTCCTCGCTTAGTTACCTGCTTTTTGCTTGGTTTCAAAGGCTTGTGAGATTGGGGAGAACCCCGATTTTGAGGGTTTAACCCCCAGCGGTTTCACCTAAGCCAAGTGTGACCTTTATCTTTGTTTTATTATTTTGCTTTTTATGTTTAATTACCAATGACATATGGTGCAGGCTGAAGGCGATGGCATGGAGCAACTATGCTTGAACATGAATTCTTCAACTTGATGAACCAAAAGGCGCTAAAAGAGGTTGCGGTGAGGATTAATAAGGGATGTTAGGTGGGAGTATCCATTAGGTAATGAGCAAAATATTCATTTTAACATATAGCATGGTGAAGTGGATTGGGCATGCATGCTTGGAAGCAAAGCAAGAAGATGATGGAAAAGTAATTGACCATTTCCGGTATTCAAGAAACCTGGAAAAAACCAACTGTTTCCACCCCTTCAGATCCCGTGGTTTTGCGACACTCATTCGGCCTGTTGTTTCGTTTTTCGTGGGCTATTTTTCGGTGTTAGTTATTGGGCTTATATGTATTACGTATGCTTTGACTTATGCTTATGGTTGATTAGAGCCGATCATGAGTCGCATTGAATTTGATCTGGAAATAAACATTCGATTTTTAAGTCAAAATTTATAGGCAAATAATTAATATAATATTTTAACTAACGTTTGTCATCGTTGATTATTACGGTATTAATGTGACCGTTCACATTGATGATGTGACGGTCTATAGTAGCTAATGATATGACGTCTGACATGGTAGATTAGTTTTTTGATATTGTTTGAGAGTCAAATTGTTTTTCAAGTTTAGCGACTCATTTATTATTTAATTTTAAATTTTAAATTTTCAAAAAAATTAAGTATGAAAATACTACAAATAAATTTAAATTACTAAAATTTAAATATTACAAATATTAAAAGTAATATTAAAAAACTTAAAATTAAATATATATCAGAAGTTATAAAATTATATAATATAAATTATTAAAAAATTAAAACATTTTTAAAAGGATATATTATACATAATATATACATTTAATAAATGATTATATCATCAAGACCTATACAAAATACTTTGATTAGATTAGTTGATACTTACAAATTTTATATTCTGATTGGATTGTTGAATTATGACTAAATGTTTGTATTGATAAAAAATTTATTATTTTTTAATTATATTAAAATACAAAATTTATAAGTCTTGACCAGTCCAGTAAAAAATTTATATAAGTGTTGATGATATTATTATATGTTACATGTATATATTATGAATAATATATCCTTTTAAAAATATTTTAAATTTTTAATAGTTTATAAGCTATAATTTTATAGTTTATGATATATATTTCATTTCTTTTAATTTTAATGTACTTTTAGTATTTTTAATATATATATATTAAATTTTTTAGTAATTTAATTTTTAATTTTAGTATTTTAATATATTTTTTTTAATATTTTGCATTTAAAAATTTGAATTTAAAATAACTTTTATTTAAAAAAAAAATAATCCCCTGAACTTTTAAAAAAAAACAATTAAGCCTTTGAAAAGATCAAAAACGTAATTTAACCCATCTATCAAGTCATTCCTCACGTCATCAGTCACCATGACCAGTGTATCAATATTGTAACTTGTCATATCAACACTTTGAGCCACCACGTCAACATCATAACATTTAACGATGGAAAACGTTGATCAAAGAATATATTAAGTTTTTTTTAGCTTGAGGTCTAGGTAAAAAATAACTTGAGGGCAGCATTGTTTCCCCCCCCCCCCAAAAAAATTCAAGGGACTTAAATATCGCTATGCCAAATTTTTATTTTTGTTCAATCTAAACTATATATATTAATTTTTATTAGAAAAAAATAAGGACATTGTTGAAAAAAATAAAATAGAAATAATAATTATTGTCATTATTCTTTAATATATAAAGATATAGTTATAATTTTATATTGCGACGGGTTTGATCATTTTTTTCGTTTTAAATTGAAAATCGACCTGATTCGACTCTAATCTTAAAAAAATCTTAATACAATCTGACCTAAATTTAAATTTTCAGAATAAAAAAAATGATCCAATTGGGTTAGATCGGCTTCTGATAAAATATTCATTCCTATTTTTGATTATGAAGATCCATATTTTGTACGAACCAAGTGATCTCGGTGGTAAAGGTATTGTTGTTATTCCTTGAGGTCTCGGGCCAAGCATTATGAATGTCAGGGGTATGAATGTTCAATATCAAATGATTGAAAATATTTTTAAATAAATATTGTCTTGTACTTACCATAAATTAAAGAGAGAGAGAGATACATGTTCTTTCAGTTAAAATGAAATGATCCCTAATTTGTTGAGACTTAATTATAAAACAATTGTTCAAATTATATTGTTTTTCTAAATAGGTGTCTAATTTTTTTTCTATTCATCCACGTGTCTAACGTTACAAACACTAATGTTGAACCATGCTTTGATGTTTTGATATACCAAATATTAATATTTTTAAACAAATTTTAAGATTATTTTCGATTAAGTTTTCAATGTTCTATTCGATTCAATCGTTCGAATATAGGAATTGCTTTTAAGGTTAAAAACTTCATTTTTACTCCTTACTCTATTGAAAATTCAATGGAAATAAATTTCAAACAATTTTACAGTGTTTTGGATTTTAATAGAGTCAAAAATTTATTTTTCACCCTACAATACTGATACTAAAAGAACAGTATTGATATTGTTCAAGTGGTACCGTTAACAGTATCAATACAAAAAACATAAAAATGTGAAGCAATATTGATATTTTTCATAGCAATATCGATATTGCTCATAGAAGTATTGATACTCGAGAGTATTGATACTCTCTTTATGGTTTTGACAAATGCAAATTCCAGTATACCATTTTAGTACAAAGGCGATACTCCTCTGAGTATCAATACCAATATCAATACTCATTCATGAGAACCGATACTCTCTTTTCCCAATGACTATAATTTTGTATTTAATGCAAACAATATTGATACGTATCGATACTCTAAGCGTTTGGGTAGCATTTATTGCGGAGAATTTTTCCCATCGACTCTATTAACTACCAAAACAATCCAAACTGCTAAAATTGATTGAAAAGGTATAAAATAAGATTCCAAGTCATATGTGAAGACAAAAGATCAAAGAGAAAGTCAAAGCAATCACATTGAGTCAAAATCAGAGTCAACATTTCTTTTGTTTTCATTGATTACTTTTGTACTCATTTGTTCTTATTTCTCAAGTGTTCTTATTTGTTCTTGAATTGTGAAAAAACATTTCTTATAAGGTTTTTAAGTTTGCAAATTTATAGTTTTCTCTTTACGAGGGTGTCTCAGGAATTTGAGGTGTAATTCTTAAGAGAGTTGTAAGATTAGACCTTGTTCTCAATAGTGGATACAAATAAGTAAGTTTAGAAAAATCCTTACTGTGAATAACTAAAGCAGTAGATGTAGAATTTAGCTTAGAAAGACGAACCACTCTAAAATTTGTGTGTCCAATTTTCCTTTAAGTTTCCACCAAAGTTTGTTTTATCTAGGGTCATAATCGTAATTAAAAATACCAAAATTTTCAAAGAAATATTTTAAAAAACCCAAAACTTTAAAAATCAGACAGTCGTTTACCCCTGAAAAATAACCTTAAAAACGACTCCCCGATGATGAAATCAACGATAAATCTGACAAAACGACAAACTCGATTTAGCTCCTATTGACTCTAATTGTGGTGGCTCTTCATCGGAAAAATGGTCGTTGGGTGGAAGTGTAAGACAATATAATTTGGGCATTTATTTTCGACTTGAAGCCATTTGCTAACCAGGAGCAACAATTTTGAATGATCTCTCTCACGCTTTTCTCTGCTATGGTCTTCTCCTTTTGACCTTTTGTAACATGCTTCAATGGCGGCAATCAAATTGACTTGGAGGAGAAAGCATCAAAACATAGTACCAAATGAATGGCAAAAATGTCCATTCGTGAACTCCTCCGTTTAAGGTACACCGTATTCGCTAACTCAACTCTCCTCTGCTCTTCATCGAAATTCAACCACCTATTTTCATCGCTATTTTATTCTACCGTGTTCAAAGCACGCACTTTTCCTCGCCCAACAACCCTTTCGATTCTCGATTCATGTCAAGATGTAAAGAAATTGTTTCAAATCCAGGCTCACTTGATTACTTCGGGTCTCTTCCAAAACCCCTTTTGGGTAGACAGGGATTTTTTATGCTTTCTTCAAAGTTGGGCAACATTGATTACATTGTTTCGATTTTTCGGTGCATTGAGGATCCTGGTACTTTCCGTGTTAATTCGGTTATCAAAGCTCACTGTTTTAGTTCTTTGCCCCCATCAAGTTGTGGTTATTTATTTTCAGCTGCCGACTCACGTATGCTTCGTTCCAAATAGTTATACTTTGTGCCACTTTTAAGCTCTTGTTCAAAAACAGGTTGTTATAAAACCGCCCGAAAGTGTCACGGCCAGGCAATTAAATTTGGGGTACTTGATAATTTGCCGGTGCAGAACTGTTTGATTCATATGTATGGTTGTTGTGGGATTCTTGAGTTTTCTAAGAAAGTGTTTCTTGAAATGTCTCAAAAGGATATTGCCTCATGGAACTCTTTTATTAATGCTTGTGTTAAAGTTTGGAATATGGGTCTGGCTCACAACTTGTTCGATGGAATGCCTGAAAAGAATGTGATTTCTTGGAATATTATGATTAAGGGGTATTTAAAAGCTGGAAATTCGGGGTGCGCATTGAAGTTGTTTAGACAAATGGTGGAACTTGGATTTATGGGGAATGAGAAGATTGTGGCTATTGTGCTTAGTGCCTGTTCTAAGTCGGCTAGACTAAAGGAAGGGAGATCAGTTCGTGGATTTTTGATCAAGGATGACATGAAGTCAAATATAATAATTGATACGGCTTTGGTTAATTTGTATTGTAACTGCCAGAAAGTAGGATTAGCTCGTAGGATGTTCGATAAGATCACAAATAGGAGTCGAGTTTGCTGGAATGCAATGATTTTGGGGCACTGCATTCATGGGAATCCAGAAGATGACCTAAAATTATTGGCGGATATGGTGGATGGATGCACTGTTAGAGGAGAAGCAGGTATTTCTCCCGATATCTCTTTTGTTGGGGTTCTGAGTGCTCGTGCAGGGTTGGTAACAGAGGGCAGAAATTATTTCAGCCAAATGATCAACAGATTCGGTATAAAGCTGAACTTTGCTCATTATTGGTGCATGGCAAATCTTTATGTCAGTGCCGAATGTTGCCGAGGATGTATCGTCTGATTCTGTGTTCTTTGCTAACTTGCTCATCTCGAGTCGTTTTAGTGGAGGTGCGAGTGTTGGGGAGAGAATAGCAACATCTCTGATTGACAAAGAGCCTAAAAACTTCTCATATTATCAGTTACTGTTGAATGTTAGCGCAGTGGCAGGTAGGGATGGGAATAGGTCAGGCCGGCCTACAGGGGCTTACGACCTGGCCTATATAAAGTCTGGCATGAACTGACCTATTTAATAAAAAGGTTAGATTCAGGCTTTTTTAAAAGCATATTAAATTAAATAGACCAGACTTAAGCTTATTAAAAAACCTTATAAGCCTAATAGGCCGGCCTATATATGTGTATATTATTGTACACACCAATTTTTTACCCAAAAAAATATATTACAGAAATTATTTTAAAATGCAAAAAGGGCATACCCTGCTGCCCAAGCACCACCCACGAGCAGACAAAGGTTCAACTCCCCATCCAGACACCCATGCTCTCACGTGAAGAACACCAGCAACTAATTAATTGAGTTGCATTGGTCTTGCCAATTCCAGCAACCCGAGCAAGACCCACATTGTTTTCATATCTGCCCATGCCTTGCTCTACGATACCCATGTGAAGAAGGCTTTTAAAAAGACTATCAGGCTAGGCCCTTTAAAAAGGTCAGGCCGAGTCAAAATAAAAGCCTTTGATAGGCTATAGGTCAGGCCCAGGTCTAAAAAATTCATCGTAGGCAAGGCTCAAGCCTTTTAAAGCCTAGCATGGCCTGGCCTATTCCCACTCCTAGTGGTAGGGCAATGGGAGGATGTTGCCAGAGTAAAACTGTTGATGAATGATGGGGTATAGATAGAGTTGCTGGGTGCAGTCTTGTAGATTTGAAAGTAGGTGAACAATGGAGGGAGGGAGAGGAGCAAAGGGATGCTGAGCTTGCTGAGAGCTGGTTTGCTATTGGTTGAGAAATGTCATTCATTGTTTTTGATCGGGACTTATGAATTTCTTCCTACATTGGTTTTACATGAAATAATACATTCTCATTTGATGCAAACAAATGCAATCAACCTCAACAGCCTCTCTTACAAGTCTGCAAAAGGTCTTGACAAAACATCGACTCAAAAACTTTATTTCCCCGTTGATATTGGGATAAATATCAAAATCAGACATAGTTCGATTCAAAATACAATGCCATTTATAAACTTAGATTTTATTTAATTATGCTATTTTCCATATGAATAGTAACACCAGGATATTGAAGAGGAGATGATTAATATAAATGTAGAAACCAAATTCCTTGTGACAAACACAATTTAGACCATTCTCATTCATATCATAAATGATAACTAAAGAACATTACTTGATACGGCAGACTGGTTTGGTTAAGTTTGAAGACAGGTAGGAACATAGACGACACTAGAACAGTTTAAACAGATCACATAATATCAGAAAGAACAGGTGAAAAGTCGGAGCAATGAACTACATTTTATATAAAAGTTCGACGCAATTGAACGGCCATAGCCAAACTTCATTCAAATGCCCACTGATTCTCCCTACGAACCTCTTCCTCCTCTTCAGGGGTGAAGTCATTCTTGATGTTAAAAGTCTTCCTGATCTCTTCCGGGGTCTTTCCCTTGATCATGTCAGCAACAGTTTGACAAGTAAGATCCAGCAAACCCTTGATGTTCAAATAGTTGGCAGCCTGCAAAATTTATATTACAAAGATCACTGTAATTTTCAAAAAATGCCTAATGAAATAAGGCAAGAGCAACAATTACTCAACAATTCTGCAATGTTAACAACGTACAATTGATTATAGGCTTACAATCTTATTGGTAAGTGCAAACATATGAACAACCTCCAACACAACTTTGAAATATCAATTTTCATGCTGGGTTACTTCCTTAATGTTATTTGTTAAACCAGGAACTGATAAAGATTCAAACCTTTTCTTCCAATGAAAATTACAGATTAGGCTTCTGCTTCTAAAGTGTAACAAGACCATCAAACGGTTGTGAGAACCAAGCTAAAACATGATAAATATACCAGGAGTTTTACTTTGCTTATACAAAGAAATAGCGCAGCTTTTTCTATATCCTTAGTAATACTAAATACGCCACAATGGCTTGTTTTCAAATTTATGGCATATCTACGACCAGATAGAGTATGGCACATTCTAATTCATTAGCTAAATCAAAGCACCAACAAATCACCAAAAGTAGACAAATTGAAACGTAATTGTCTTTACATTCAGTCACATCCCCAACCATATCATATCCTGCAATGATCACAATTATTATATGGCCAAAATAAATCCTATTTTCTTAATTCGTTCCCCTAAATTCTAAAACCCTAACCTAGTAATCAACAAGACATTACAAATTATTGAAACATAAAAAATATAGAGATATAAACAACGAAAAAGAAAACAAGGGAAAAGAGAGAGAAAAAAGAAGGGGCTTACCAGAATGAGATCGAAAAGAGTGGCTTGATCGACTTTGACAAAGTCAGCATCCCAACTCTTAAGTTCATCCTCGGCGGATCGATCGTCGGTCTTGGGAGCCTCGACGTGCTTTTTGCAGTATTCGATCACCTTCGCTAGGATCTTACTCGTAACATTAGGCAAGGGTATCCCGTTGTCAGCACAATCGTCCTCGATCATGTGCTTTATCGTCTGCGATTCCAACGCCACTGCTTCGTCAACCTCGAACGATTCGCCGTCCGAACTCTTCAGAGTAATCTTCCTCCCTGACGACGACATTTTTTGCTATCGATTTCTACAAAGATTAGAAACAGGGATCGGCTGATCTGGGCCTTTTCCTTGTTGTTGTATTTTTCTGGGGCAATAAATTAGGGATTTTTTATAGAGTGCGAGTTGGGGGTGTTCTAGGAAAGGTTGGAATTAGATACGTGGCATCACGGGTGTTGTTTCCAAATCCTCATCAAACCATTTAAACGTTGACACGTGTTATACAAAGGGAACGCTATGCTATTTAAACTTTTTTACAAAATTTTAGATAATAACGTTTTATCGTCCATCACGTGTTAATAAAATATTAATTTAATTAACAAAATTAATATTATAATAAGAATATTTTATCTTTTTATATTAATTTTTAAATACAATAATTAAAATCTATAATTATTAATTGAAAAACTTATATATATCACCCTCTTCATATTAGTAGTTTAATATTTCAAGATAAAATACACAAATGAGTATTAAATGATATTAAAACGAATCTTTTAATTATTTTTTTTAAAAAATAGGAGTATAAGTTGATTATTAATTTTTTTAATTATAAAATAATTACCACATCGATAATTATTGTTGTCAAATATGATGGCGTGGTATATTAACTTAATAAATAATATCTCATTTATTCATTTAATTGTAATATTATTTTAATACTTTTGAACAATAATTCAAAAAATAAAAATTCGAAAAAAGTATGTAGAAATTTATAATTCATCTTAAATTTTAATTTTAAAAAAAATTATAAAAATTGTAATACAGGATGTACAACGCATAAATTATTAATTATAAGATTTAAGTGGGTTGAAAATAATTTGTCTTTAAAAAGTTTATCAAAAGATAGAATAGTTGTTCATCGTTTTAAGTTAAATACGATTAAATATTCATAAATTAAATTTATATTCTATATTGTGATTAATGTCAGATTTAAGAATCGATTAAGAAAAACAATTAAAATATCCCACCGTACTTATAAATTATACCTGAGAGAAATGGTCACGTTATCTCAATCCATGAGTACAAAATAAAATTTAAAACATATTTCCTCGAATGAATATGCAAGCTTGCTAATTTTACTCGAACAAAAAATCATTTTAATAATCATACAATCATCATTTTTTTTCTGTTCATTGACGATCGCATCAATTTTAATATTAATTGTGAATCGTTGATATTTTTTATTATCTTTTTCTTTTTTATATTATATTTTTATTTTCTTTTATGTCTTTTTAATAAGTTTGTATGTGTTGCATGTTTTTATTTTTCTTTATAACATGTTTTCTTTAAATGTTTTTCGATTATGTAACCTTTTTTCATTTATTTTTTATCTAAGGGTTAATTGGACATCGTCACGACTGATCAAGATGACACTTATTTGATATATTGTTGATCTTCCCTATTTTGGACATTTAGATTGGATTTGGATACTCGATTTGCGTTATTTGATAGATTTTCATGTCGCTCGAGTCTGATTTGCTTGTTTGTCGGTGGTCTTTCAATAGTTTGATCCACTTTTGTGGTTTGTTTGCCGATGCGATCAAATCTGTTTGTATCTATCTTTGTTCGAGTTTCTTAGTTACATTTAATCTTTCTTTGTATGGTATTTATGCGATCTTAAGCTACTAGTTTTGTTGTAATGATTATAGAAAATTTTCCTAATTATGTGCCTAAATTACGATTATGATTGTAAATTTTTATTATAATTTAAAAATATTTCTTAATAAAATTACTTCTTAAGCTTTTTGCATGCCTAAAAATAATTTCGACAGATAATAAAGTTCATACGAGATTAAACTAAGAATTAGCATTTATATACGTTTTTTATTAATTTATTTTTGGGTAAAATGCCCAAATGATCCTCTGACTATATGATACTGTTTTATTAAATCTCTCAACTATTATAAGTTAGAAAATGATCCTCTAACTGTAGTGTTGCTATGGAGTCTCTCGACTACTAAAAGTTACAAAATGATCATCTTACTATTCATTATGTTTTAAATTCATCATCTTTCATTAAAAATTGACGATATCTTAAGCTCAATGTTAACATACTGACTATGATATATAAATTTTGATTATGAAATCTCAAACGATTATCATATTATAGTCATCATGTTAACATCTGACTTAAACAATTGTCAATTTTTTAATAACAAATGATGAGTTTGAAACATAATAAATAGTCAGGTGATTATTTTGTAACTTTTAATAGTCGAAGAACTTAACAAAATAACATTCTATAGTCAAAAGATCATTTTGTAACTTTCAGTAATCGAAAGACTTAATAAAGTAATACTTTTGTAACGACTTAATAAAATAGTACCGATAGTTGGAGACTATTTGCGTACTTTACCCTTACTAAATTAGTGAAGGCTTAGTCAACATTTGGAATTTGATACAATGACGCTTGCATTCAGAAAAAGAAAAAGAAAAAAAAATGATTCTTGCTATTCTGAACTATACCCAAAAAGAAACAACACAAATACACTGGAAATTTGATCCAAAACCACTATTCGCTTACGGAAAATCGGTCTGATACAACAACCAAAAAGAACAAAAACACGTGTTCAATCTCCAATAACAATTTCACTAATTTACATACATATAAATTAAAATATATATATATATATATATATATATATATATATATATACATCTGTATATTCGAAGCAAGCTTTTAGTACGGTTTCAATTTGATATTGGCAACTAGTTTTACCTTCGTTATTCGACTTTTATACAAAGCTCTCAACAGAATATTGTCTTCCAGTACTTTCACTCATGATTCCATGAACTGTGATGGTGGAGGGTTTGTTTTAGTCTTCTCTGAACCTGCAAGTTCATGAGCAAGAATTGCCAAGTTTATGATATAAACAAACCATACCCCAAACATCACATTACATTGTAAGACAGTCTGAGAATTATTGGGGGAAACGAGATTTCAGCATGATCATGAGGTTCTCGACTCGATATCTAGGACATACCGTAGATCCCACGCATCTCTACTTCTCGCCATTCTTGAACCAGGGCACAACAGCAGCACATCAAATGAGAGAGGAAATCATCAATAAATCCACCCTGCCAAAGGAAGATATGAGTTACATTTCGAGGAGACTGGATTTCAAGTGAGATTGAAACTTACTATGAAGTGTGAACAATAGGATTAAAAATCATAGAACCATGCAGAGAATTATGCGGGAAAGAAGAATCGTTGATGATATAGCTATCCATGATAATAATGTTCAGACGGTTCTAGGTCATATACTTATGATGGCTATGATTACTAGAACACGACATATAGCACACTCACGGAAGTAATATATGATGAGCAATGAGATCAATGTAACCGAACCTGTACATATTCTTCAATGGAAGAGACAAATTGCAGAAAACTTATGATTCAAGGTTTTATATTTCTCAAGTAGATTACTCTTTTACTGGCAGAGAAAATACCGTAATGTTCAATGTCTTGCGAAGCTTCCTTCTAACACAGCAAGTGTAGCAACAGCACGACAATATCAATGAATACGCCATTAATTTGTTGCATGCTTCTGCAGAAGCTGCAGAAAGTTGCTGTGTAAGCTTCAAAAATCAAAACAATACCAGAATTCTAAAACCCTAAAAAACAGAATTCTAAAGGAGTTGCAATTGTACAAGGTTTCCAAAGCATAATCCTTTCTTAAGGAAGCTGAATTCTCATAGTAACTGATGCGTGGATGCTACGCAATATAGAAACACAGATGCAATCTATGGATCAGACGGATTACATCCAAGCTACAATAAAACGACCAAATAAATAAAATATAATTCAGAAGTACTTACACATATGCCTGTTTGTTGCAACGGTAGCAATCTTTGAGAATGTACCACAAGGATAGAAGAATGTCTTTATACCTGCAATGAGAAAATGTAGCTTAGGATACCAGAAGATAAGAAAAACAGGAAGGTCTTCCACGTTCCACCATATTATATCTGTCCTAGAAATCTTACAATAGATTTGTGCTCCTCTTGTCCCTACAGAAAAGGAAAATATACAAAGAGAGTTTTCTTTCCCTCTCTTGAAGCTAAGCAATCTCAAATCTCATGTTGCAACTTCTATCATGTCAAACAGAACAGAAAGAAGGCATGTGACACAATAATGGGGCAGTAATGACATAAAAACGACTTACACAGAGATGGTTCTGAGCAACAACCAAGCAAATCAGCATTCCATTCTTCATACCGATGTGAACCTCTTTCAGAGAGCAGATCATGTCCAGATGAAACCGAAGAAGTGTTTCTGAAAATGCATGACATAACTTTAGAAACCACACTTAAATTTGATTACATGAAATGTATGAACTGCAAGTGCATATTCACAAGCTTAAAGACGCAAGGCACCAAAACTGAATCAAATGCCAAATTCCTAGTAAATTGTAAGGTATAAAGATAGGAGCAACTAACTCTTGCCTTAAAAGCATAAAAATTCAGCCTTACTACCCAACTTTTAGCTTTATTACAAGGTTTCGGAGGATTCATGTATGTGTGTGTATGTGTGTGTATGTGTGTGTGTGTATGTGTGTGTGTGTGTGTGTATAAAGAACCATGATTGCACTCTGAGAATGTAAATTCAAAATGAAACGAAAAACAACCTTGAAATTGAGCGAGAATCAGGCTTCTTAGGGGAGTTTGCATCATATGAATGATCTTTCTTACTATTGGCATCTGAGTAGTTACGCTCCACTTTCTTAGACCCTTTTGTGGTTTCTGTAATAGAAGTAGCAGCAACTTCTGTTACATCAAGCAACTGCTGGATTACTTCACACTGTTTCACATCATGATTATATTGCGAACGATGTAGTTCCAATTGAAGCTTCTCATTTTCCTCTTGCAGTGCTTCATTAAAACCCATGTTTGGGTATGAACAAGAAAGAGTCTTTTTCAAAATAATGGTATCATTTCTTGAGGGTTCTGGTTTCATTATAACATCTTGCACCCTTCTATCCTCTTCATCCAAGGTGTATTCATGTTGATCTTTCTCAATAACTTCTAGTCTCTCCTGCAGTTAATGGAGAAATGAATTAATTAGTAGCATGCAAAGATTACTCTATCAGGCTAAACGTTCAAATAAATATGGTAAATACCGACTAATCATAGCGCTTTCTTGAAGTTAATCAAGTCATTATGGGACAATCTGCAATCTTTCTAATGGATCACATATAAAGATGCATAAGATTATTAAAATCGGTTTCAAGATTAGTCAATACCCTGACTCGAGCATTATCCACCAGAGTGATAAGAGGAACAAGCTTCAAATACCGGTCGATTTCATTCTGGGCCTTTCTAAACTGATATACAATGTTCCACCCCATGGCTAGAACATACAGGTAGCTCCTGTCGTGACAGCTATTAACCAAAATGTAAGACCTCCTTAATGCATCCTCGAGCTGCTCCAACGGTTCCCTCGTCTCGGGATACCTCTTAAGCTCCGATATCTTGAGCTGCTCCAGCAAGTTACCGATCAGCTTCAGATGCTGAGCAAATTGCCGGCAACTCTTCTTATGCATTCGGGCTGTGCTTGCAGCTTTAGCAATCATAGCTATTAATCGCACAGCATCAAAGCCCGCTAGCTGGGCTATGTTTGCTATTTCTCCAAAATGTTCCCAGGAAGAGGCCATCCTTTCCTATCAATCAAACTTAAAACCTGCTTTTTGAACAAAAATTTATTAGATTACCGCATAATCTATTTTACTACATCACTCAAGTCAAAATTTAAGTTAAATGAACAGCAATTTAATACCCAAGAAAATGAAAGAAGCTTGATGGGGGGATTTTCGAACGTTATGGCCCGTTCTAAACTACAATTTCAGTGCTTCACAATAACAAGAGCTTTGAATGCAATTGCATTACCGACAAAAGCCAGACCTGATTTCTCAAGGTAATTGACGATACGTTGATGAAACTTGAGAAGAAACAGAATCTGTGGTTCCAAGCAGGACCAAAAGCTCCTTCCCAGGATCTATCCAGAAATCAAATACCCACTCGAGATCCTCGACGTTTAAGAGCTAAAAACAGCGCAGTATCCGTTTCAACAGCTGAAAAAGAAAAATAAGAACTCAATGTGTTAACTAGAATATTACCGATCAAGCTTCTTCATTCACTTTGCTGAGTCACAAAAAAACTAAACGATTCAACACTTCAAGGAGAAAAAAGAGAGAGACCCAACAAAGAAAAGAACCAAAAAAAAAAAGCTAAAATTCAGATGACATTTATTTGAATCTCTGAGTGAACTTGTTTACGAGTAAATAACAAAAAGGAAATGAGCGAATGGTACCATAGACCTTCACCTACTCCTCAGAATTTGTTTCTCTTATTTTTATGCTTTAGCTGATTCTTCTTTACTTTTAATCTTCTAGTTTTCGAACTTCAAGAAAGTTTCAACAGAAGAAGCCATTGTATTCAGAAATTAATTCATCACGCAAAAAGAACATGTCCGCTCTTTTTCTTTTTCTTTTTTTAGCAAATTCTCTCTCCTTCTTTCTCCTAACTGGGCAAAGCTCAAATGAAAAAGGAAAAGAACATTTTTCTCTTTGTTGCCATCTTTAATGTTTTTTAAGCAACGGTGTTGGTTGTTTGTGACCGCTGCAGTGTCTCCACTCTCCACCGTAGCCAATGCCATTTCGAGCATTAGTTTTGTTCCTAACCGATGGACAGGTGATAAATTTTCACGAGTACGCAAATGTCCCTGGTTCTCTTACGTTATTTATGAAACATGCCACCGATTTTCACGGACTGTAATAGTCATAGTAAATAAGGTAAAGTACATAAATGGTCCATAAACTATATGATTTTACTTTGTTGATTCTCCCGATTATTAAAAGTTATAAAATTATCATCTGATTATTCATATATTCTATGCACATCTTTTTATATTAAAAAATTGACAATCGTCTGAGTTGAACATTTAAATTGCTGATTGAGATATGATTAAATTTAATTTCAGAATCATTTTGAGTTATATTTTATGAATATAGTCTTGGCTTATATTATATTGTCGAGTCAGTCAGCATATTTACATAATGGGGTGTTTGGCAAACAGATTTTTGAAGAGATTTTAGCATTTTTGAGCATAAATAGACTATTGGTAATCAAATCCTTTATTTTTGTGTTGGTAAACACCTTTTTGAAAGAGCTTATTGTGCAAAATAAGTAGAAAATGAAAATGTTGGAAAATTCAGCGGTTTGGGAGAGTTGATTGTAAAATAAGATGTTAAATGACATATTTGACCTTGTTTTCCCCATAATTACATCCTTACCATAAAACCTAATATAATGAAATATCTTTCATCATAATATATTTAAGCTGAAATTTTATTTTATTATTCGGTTTTTTAGTTGTAGATTCTCAAATATATTTTAGTTAAGAAAATATAGCAAAACATAAAAGTAAAAAGTGTAGTTTTGATATTTTATACAAAGTTAATACTATATATCAATAATAAAAAATGTAGTTTTGATATTTTATATAAAGTTAATACTATATATCAATCTCACAAGGTTAATATTTATAAATATTAAATTTTAAAAATATATTAAAAAATTTTAAAAACATTCACTAATTTTCTTAAGGAATTTTTAATTCCTTGTCAAAAGCATTTTATCCAAATAATTTCGCCCCAATAAAGACTAAAGTATTATAAAACATATATGTACTTAACAACTAAATGTATCATACCCTTATTTGTTATTTTACCCATATCAACTATGTTGAAAACATTTTGATGTTTCGATATAATAAATTAAGTATAAATGAATTTTAAGATTTTACAAATGGTTTTCTAAGTATATTCGATTTAATTACTTGAATATCAAAATATTACTCCAAGTCTTTCAAAGATCAATTTCAATCCTTACTAAAGTGTAAAATTGTGTTTTAATCTTAAAATATTTTTGAAACAATTTTCACAAAGTATTTCGAACCAAAAATGAGCCTAAAATCAATCTTTCAAAAGAGTGTACCGATGCACCAATCCATGCATCGATGCACCATTAAATAAATTGAACATCAAATGCATTTTATGCATCGATGCACATACCATGCATCGATGCACTCCGGTTTTTATGAAAACATCGAATGCATTTTATGCATCGATGCACTATCAGTGTACCGATGCACTAAGGATCCAACGGTCGAAATATTTGAATTTTACACATAGTGTACCGATACACTAGCCTTATGCATCGATGCGCCAGACGCTCCCACTAATTTTATTAATTGTTTTCACACTTAAACGACTCCATTGACTCTACTAATCATCCCCAACGTTCAGAAGTGATTCAATGAGTATTTAAACAAGCTTAGAAGCCATTGATCAACAAGAAGAAACAACAATCAATAAGAATCAAGAAAGAATTAAAGAGAAAGCATCAAACCTCAAGTTTGAGCATTTTTAAGCCTATTTCATTCAATATTCATTTTTGCTTTCAAGAACACTTATTGTGCTCAATTGTATTATTCTTGAGTGTTCTTTATTTGTTCTAGAATTGTGCAAACAATCTACCTTGTGAGGATTTCCTTGTAAGTTTTCAAATTTGTAATCTTCTCTTTGAGAAAGAGTGTTCTCAAGAATTGAGGTATATTCTTGAGGGAGTTGTAAGGTTATCTCTTTGGCCTCAACAGAAAGAAAAATTAGTGAATTTTTTGGAAAATCCTTAGTGTGGATAGCTAAGGCAGTGGACGTAGACTTTGGTTGAGAAAGTCAAACCACTCTAAATCGCTGCGCAATTACTTTCAATTTTCTGTAAAAGCTTCCACCAAAATTTTAATTGCCAATTCACCCCCTCTTGGTCGATTCCATCGATCGATTAACTCAACAATTGGTATTAGAGCCTCACTCATTTGAAGGTTTAATCACCTCTTGAGTCGATTCGAGAAGAGTTACATCGATAATTAAGTCATCAATGGCCTCCACTTCAAACTTCGACTCCGGTCTCGATTCGATGCCCGTCAACAAGCCTCATTTCTTCAATTAAGCTAAATATGCCTATTGGAAGAATATGATGATGTATTTCATTCAAGCAAGTGACATGGGAGCATGAAATGTTGTAGAAGACGGATATATCAAGCCTCTCACTCATCCAAGATTGTGGAGTGAAGGAGAGTTAAGAATGTTCCAGCTCAACTCCAAAGCCATCCATATCATATTTTGTGCTCTTGGACCAGATGAATATGGAAGAGTTTCATCTTGTACAACCGCCAAAGAAATATGGGATAAACTACAAGTCACTCATGAAGGCACAAACGAGGTAAAAGAATCTAAAATTAGTCTTCTAATACATAGCTATGAAAATTTTAGGATGAAACCAAATGAAGATATCAAAGCTATGATGGATAGATTCTCAATGATTGTCAATGGTCTCAAATCATATGGAGAGATCATTCCAAACGAAAAGCTTGTGAGGAAGTTAGTTTACTCACTTCCAAAATCGTGGCAATCAAAGAAGACGACAATCATCGAGGCTAAGAACCTAAAGTCCTTAACTCTTGAAGAGCTAATTGGTTCCCTCCTCATGAAATGATGCTTGAAGATGAGGTGGACCTCAATAAAATTGACGAGACACCAAAGGAGAAGGAGAAAAAGAAGAATGTGGGAGTTGCTCTCAAATCAACAAAAGATGACAGTGATTCGGATGAAGATGATGATGATGAGGAGATGACATTGTTTGCCAAACGGTTCAGAAAAAATGATGAGGTCAAACCGAGGAAGAAAATTCAAACGAAATGAAGGCTTCAAGAATGAACCAAAAGAAAAGGACCTGATCATTTGCTATGAATGCAAAAAATTGGGGCATGTCAAATATGATTGCCCACAATTGAAGAGAAAGGGTCAATCAAAGAATAAGCACAAGGCTCACGTTACTACATGGAGCGATGAAGAAGGTTCCGATGAAGAGGAACAAGAAGTAGCAAACTTGTGCTTGATGGCATTCGGGGAAGATTCTAAGGTAACCTCTAACTAATTTGATTTAGATTATTTATCTTATGATGAGTTATTAGAGGAATATAATGGTTAGCTTCGGATTATGAGAAATTGTTTTTAAAATACAAAAATGATATTTTAAAATTGAAAAATGAAAATAATCTCATATCCAAGACCAACAATGATCTTGAAAGTAAAATCAAAGATTTACAAATCAAACTAGAAGAGTTTGAAAAGAAAAATACTGATTTGCAAAATTTACTTTCAAGAGTCAATGATGGTCATCAAAAGGAAATTGATGATCTTAAAGCTTCTTTTGATAAAGTTAGATCAAAACACTTTGAAAAATGAGAAAATTCAAAAACCAACTTTGTTAGAAAAAGTTTTAGAAACTACAATCATAGAGGTCCCCAAAGAACCTCTAATGGAAAAATTGTTAAAAGTATATGGGTTCCTAAAGAACTCATTACTACTATAGATAAGGTTATCCTACACAAATGGATACCTAAGGGGACTAGGATTTTGGAAACTAATGAATATAGACCCAAAAGAATTTGGGTACCAAAAATCAAATATGTTTGTAGGAAAAGGAGCATTGCTACAAGGCACGGGAAACAAATTCAAACTCATGGTACCTTGATAGTGGATGCTCAAGACACATGACCGGTGACAAAAGCTGGTTCATGAGCTCAATGCCAAAAATGGAGGAGACGTGACTTTTGGTGATAACTCAAAAGGTACATTACAGGTATAGGCACTATAGGTAATACCTCTTCCATACGAATTAAGAATGTTTATATGTGAATGGATTAAAGCATAATCTATTGAGTATTAGTCAATTGTGCGATAAAGGATTCAATGTCATGTTTGATATTAATGGTTGTAAGGTCATTGACATTGCATCTAATCTGATTATGCTTGTTGGTCATAGAATAGGAAATATTTACATGGTGCATTTAGATTCTATAGATATGACTAATTTATGCCTAGTTGCTAAAGATGAGCATGATAGTTGGTTATGGCATAGGAGACTAGGACATGCTAGTATGAGTGTTTTGCAACGGTTAATTCAAGGAGATTTAGTTCGAGGGTTGCCTAAAATAAATTTTGATAATGATAAAATCTGTGATGTTTGTGCTAAAGGAAAACAAAAGCGAATTTCTTTTAAATCCATTAACGACGTATCCACTAGTAGAGTATTACAATTGATCCATTTAGATCTTTTTGGGCCATCTAGAACTACTAGCTTGGGTGGAAAACAATATGCACTTGTATTGGTAGATGATTATTCTAGATATACTTGGGTTCTATTTTTAAGTACTAAAGATGAAGCATTAGAAAAATTCATCATGTAATATCCCAAACTATGGGTTAGTGACTAAATTGTAAAATTTTAGAAATTAGGGATAAAAGTATAATAGTTGGATAATTCAATGATTTATGTGGAGATATTTCCTGAAAATTGTTAGTAAATATTAAAGGAGCCAAAGGGAAAAGGAGTCATTTA